TAAGACGTTTCGGAAATGCAGTATGGGTGTCCCGAGTTCAAGATGCTATTCCCACACGTTAAGCGCAGCTACACTCGTCCTGTTAATCCAACAGCCATAAATAATTTGTCGAAAAAAGTTTAACCATCTCGCTCCTACGCTTCCCGCATTTACCCAGTACCAGAGATACTTAAAGGTAGCTTATGCATTAGCATGTATCAATATCAATCACCCGCTGACATGACTTCTTACTATGCTGCTTAGAAGTAACTTAATGGAAAGAAGAAAATCTGGCCCTATCAACCCGTTCTCCTGGCATTTAAACGAAAACAATTTCTCCAGTGTCAAAATTTACTGAAGTTCACCCTGTTCAACATCCAAACTTGCTTTTCCCTTTCAAAAAAGAAATGAATTTTTGGTCATTTATAAGTGGCCAGCATGGTCCTCGTGTCCAAAATTCGTTCATTAATTTCAAACTTAACTTTTACTAAAAAATCAGACTGTCCTCATATTACCCAGCGTTGAAACGGGGAAAGCTTAAATCCACTTCAGAGGAGGACCTGAACTGTGGATGGCTCAAATTTTGCATCCACGTTTTGTACCACCTAAATAAGAACATATAGTACCTGAATACAAACGCGTCCAGGTCGATTGAGACGGTTGGGTGATCTGTCTGTGTATCCTTGCGCACACTCGCAGGTGAACGATTGCTCATTGTCTCGACAAATAGCGTTAGGATCGCAATCATGCTTACCCGTCAAACATTCGTTTTCAACTGAAACAGATTTTAACATGTACAAATAAGGAATTAAAATAAGTGTAAATGTTGAAAATGAATGAAGTTCGAAATGAGCCACAGAAAGCGATTTTCTCCAGAGATTTTCCCCAATTCCCTTAAATCCAGTCATCATAAACCATAATAATATTATATTCTTTACCAACACAACAAATGCAAAAACCGCCCACGCCAGTGATGTTACTGGATACTCACATACTCCGGGCGCAGCTATGTTAGACCCTTTGATACTGCATGTGCAACGCAGTTAGAATCCATTCCTGTCTTCCTATGAACTAGAAAAAACCGAACAGTAAAAAAGAAGAAGCAAACCTTCATATCTTCCAAAAAGTTGAATATTTGTTTTTGGAAAAAAACAGCTGCTTGCCTCTGATACTTTTTATGCGTTTTTGCATATATGTAAATTGCAAAAACGCATATTGGGAAGAGGCTGTCTGT